CTTTGCATCGAATAGTCCCCTTCATAGTTCCCTGCGCCATCTTGAAATGTAGCCGTGCCTTTGCATCGAATTGAGACGAACGGTGAGCTTGCAGTGATAGAAACATAAGAAAGTTGTCCAAAGTGTTAAAAAAGGTCTCTATCATTGCAGGGGGTGTTAGGCGAATGAATCGTACATACGGAGAGAATTATTGTCTAACTTCAGTTTTCTTATCCACAGTTGATAGTATAATAACAAGACCTTTACAACAAACGTTTGTTCATCTGTATGGTTCAGCATCATTTTCCTGTTCTCCTCGAACCACGACTATTTATCAAAATAACACTAAGAGTAAGACACTTACCCCTCGATCTCTTGATGGAGCCAAGATTATTATGCGGAGAAGCAACACCCTTGAGATTCAGTTGTTTGATTTTGATGATGTTGGTTTGTACTATTGTAGTCTGGAAGACGCCGTTCCTGTTGCACACTTTGTGCTTTCAGGTATGTATACAGAAAATGAAGAATGACAGACTAAAATCGAAGCATTTTGTCCCCTTATGACCTATCAAAAACTTCTCTTTTTTTTTGGAAAAGGGGCGTCATTAACGTGACAGTCGTTCCCTTCCAACAAAGAAACTTTTTTGGGAACGACGCGCCATTCATCAACGCGGTCTTCCAAGCTGCAAGGTCTGATCCGTGGTTCATTAAACCTTTTCCGAATGCGCTTGAGTGACCACGAAACAATGGCTTCAAGTCGAGTTTGGTCTTGATAAAATACAGTAAATGTATGAACACATCAAGTCCAACCTCGACTCGGAGTTGGCCATAGTCAGCCAAGAAAATTTGGAAAAGGTCAACTATTGGCGTAACTTTGATACAAAGGCAGCACCCTCTCCTCATGCAGTTGTGTGAAGATCGACTTTGAATGCTAATTGGTCTCAGATTGACATTTCATTGTAACTCACTACGTAACAATCTCTGAGCCAATGACTATAAAATATCTTTGTTCCTATAGGTACTGACCAACCTATTGTAGTTGGTTGGGTGAAGATCATATCGACAAAGGATCCGGATAAAGATAACAAGATTATTATCGACCAGTCAGCCAGTGTCAACCTAGTGTGCTATTCCACTTATCGACCCAGATCACCTTCGTTCACCTGGGAGAAGACAGACGTGGCGGGCAAGAAGGTTAACATAACTAGACTAACCAAATCCTGGCCGCGGTGGGTTAAACAAAGTATCCTGGAGATAAGGAATGCTAGTAAACAAGATGAAGGAACGTACACGTGCAGTTTGGACGACAATGGGAAACAATTGTCTGACATGGTGAAGATTGTTGTTAAAGGTAAGGCTGCGTTCATAATGTATGGCAGAGGGGTGGGGGGGCAGGTGAAATTGAGGGGGG